TGCTGCTGCTGCTGTAGTACCGTCTGCTGCTGCTGCTGCTGTAGTACCGTCTGCTGCTGCTGTAGCATCGTCTGCTGCTGCTGTAGCACTGTCAGCTGCTGCTGCTGCTGCTGAAGCACCGTTGTTGGTGTGGCTTATTGAGAATACCAAGAAACAATTAACCTCAGAGGGTTAGCCACCCAGGATAACCCAAAAAAGTCAGTGTCATCGAAGACTGTCTAACTTATTTCCATTGGGGTCCTTAATCATGTCTCCCAGGATGCAACCCACACCAGTCGACTAACACCCAGGTGAACAGGGAAAAACGCCTGGAACTAGTGCTCATATTGGTGAATTTAAAGCCAGCAAAGGTTGGTTTGAGAGATTTAAGAATCGTAGTGGCATACACAGTGTGATAAGGCCTGTTCTGGAAGAAAATGCCAAACAGGACCTACAGTACTCAGGAGGAAAAGGCACTCCCAGGACACAGTGTCTCATCAGTCATTGCTGCATCTTCAATAAAGGTAAGTGTCATTTATTCTTCATTTAGTAGAGTAGTACATGCACAATATATACTGTGTATGTACTACTCTACTATTGTGCATGTATCCTTCTCTTTGTGTGTAGGAAAATGTATATTTCATGTGGTAAAAAATTTTTTTTCATACTTTTGGGTGTCTTGCACGGATTAATTTGATTTCCATTATTTCTTATGGGGAAAATTCATTCGCATAACGATAATTTCGCATAACAATGAGCTCTCATGAACGGATTAATATCGTTATGCGGGGGTCCACTGTATATATTATAGAACAATAGTAATAAACAATTTCTTGTATTGTTTGTTTTTGTAAACAAGTTTTGTAAACAATATATTGATAATTATGTTTGTGTGCTTATTGTGTTGTATACAACAAGTGTATACATGTACATTGCACCTTACTTTGGTCTCACAGGCCACATAAGTTATGTAAAAAAATAAAATAGTGAAAAAACAACAAACCTTCAAATACAAGTAAACCAAAGTTTATGGGTGAGTTGCAGTCGCTGCTGTTGCCATATGCGGCTCATATTCTGCAAACTTCATGCCTCTATATCTCGGTAAGTACTGATGGGAAATTTTTTTTTGGGACTAAAACAATCAGAAAAATAATCTTAACATTTTCATAAGAAAAAACAATTTTTTTTTTCCGAATATTTTGCGACACCAGGAGACACTTCAGGATTGGGCCTCTCGACAGTCAAAGGGTTAAACGAGATGGGTGCTACACAGATGACAGCAAGGAAATGAGTGAGCTACTCAAGTCCCAGTATGACAGAGTTGAAGACCTAAATGAATTTTTTTTTAAGACAGAATTTCATAAACATGAACCTATCTGATATTATCCTGATGCCAAATGACTTCGAAAAGGCACTCTCAACACTGTTATGGTATATCCCTTTTATATATTCTCATGAGTTTATAGCTAAAATATTCCTGAAACATCAACATTAACATGTTCTATCTCCCGAATGTACTTGTGAATGTCTCACAAGATGACCTTTTACACTAAAACATATGAGACCTTTAGCACATTGATATAGTTTATCTCCAGTATGTACTCGTATATGTCTCACAAGATGGCCTTTTCACTAAAACGTGACAGCACATTGATATGGTTTATTTCCCATATGTACTCTCATATGTGTCACAAGACTGCTTTTTTCAATAAAACATTTCAGACACTCTGAACATTGATATGGTTTATTTCTTGTATGTACTCTCATATGTTTCACCAATTTGCTTTTTTCAATAAAACCTTTCAGACACTCTGAACATTGATATGTTTTCTCTCCTGTATGTACTCTCATGTGTGTCACAAGACTGCTTTTTTGATTAAAACATTTCAGACACTCTGAACACTGATATGGTTTCTCTCCTGTATGTACTCTCACATGTGTCACAAGTTTGCTTTTTTCAATAAAACATTTCAGACACTCTGAACATTGATATGGTTTCTCTCCTGTATGTACTCTCATGTGTGTCACAAGACTGCTTTTTCGACTAAAACATTTCAGACACTCTGAACATTGATATGGTTTCTCTCCTGTATGTACTCTCACATGATCCACAAGACTGCTTTTGTGACTAAAACATTTCAGACACTCTGAACATTGATATGGTTTCTCTCCTGTATGTACTCTCATGTGTGTCACAAGTCTGCTTTTTTGACAAAAACATTTCAGACACTCTGAACATTGATATGGTTTATCTCCTGTATGTACTCTCATATGTGTCACAAGTTTGCTTTTTTCAATAAAACATTTCAGACACTCTGAACATTGATATAGTTTCCCTCCTATATGTACTCTCATGTGTGTCACAAGACTGCTTTTTTCACTAAAACATTTCAGACACTCTGAACATTGATATGGTTTATCTCCTGTATGTACTCTCATATGTGTCACAAGTTTGCTTTTTTCAATAAAACATTTCAGACACTCTGAACATTGATATGGTTCATCTCCTGTATGTACTCTCATGTGTGTCACAAGGCTGCTTTTTCGACTAAAACATTTCACACACTCTGAACATTGATATGGTTTCTCTCCAGTATGTACTCTCCCATGATCCACAAGACTGCTTTTGTGACTATAACATTTCAGACACTCTGAACATTGATATGGTTTATCTCCTGTATGTACTCTCATATGTGTCACAAGTCTGCTTTTTTCAATAAAACATTTCAGACATTCTGAACATTGATATGATTTATCTCCTGTATGTACTCTCATATGTGTCACAAGTTTGTTTTTTTCAATAAAACATTTCAGACACTCTGAACATTGATATGGTTTCTCTCCTGTATGTACTCTCATGTGTGTCACAAGACTGCTTTTGTGACTAAAACATTTCAGACACTCTGAACATTGATATGGTTTCTCTCCTGTATGTACTCTCATGTGTGTCACAAGACTGCTTTTTTCACTAAAACATTTCAGACACTCTGAACATTGATATGGTTTCTCTCCTGTATGTACTCTCATATGTGTCACAAGTTTGCTTTTTTCACTAAAACATTTCAGACACTCTGAACATTGATATGGTTTCTCTCCTGTATGTACTCTCATATGTGTCAGAAGTTTGCTTTTTTCACTAAAACATTTCAGACACTCTGAACATTGATATGGTTTCTCTCCTGTATGTACTCTCATATGTGTCACAAGTCTGTTTTTTTCAATAAAACATTTCAGACACTCTGAACATTGATATGGTTTATCTCCTGTATGTACTCTCATATGTGTCACAAGTTTGCTTTTTTCAATAAAACATTTCAGACACTCCGAACATTGATATGGTTTATCTCCTGTATGTACTCTCATATGTGTCACAAGTTTGTTTTTTTCAATAAAACATTTCAGACACTCTGAACATTGATATGGTTTATCTCCTGTATGTACTCTCATATGTCTCACAAGATTTTTTTTTTCACTAAAACATTTCAGACACTCTGAACATTGATATGGTTTATGTTCTTTATGTTTTTCCATATTTTTTAAATGAAGGAATTTCATTTAAAATATTTTAGTCATACAACAGTGGTATAGTTAATTTTCCTTATGTACTCACATGTCTATTTCATGAATTTTTTTAATTATTTTGGACACTGAACACATAGTTTTCTTTATGAAAAAATCCCTTTTTTTTTCATTAACCCTTCGAGGGTTCAGACTCCCAATTTGAAAATTCCCCACAAAGTCCAAGAATCTAAAAAAAAAAACAATTTTTTTTCTTGTGAAATGGTAGAGATTTTTTTCTGAAGGTAATAAAACAAAAGGTATTAAATTTGATCAAGAATTCATGATGTTATGCTCCCACGAATTTTCCTGTATAAGCAATATTTATGTATTGGCAATTTTACCCACTTTGAGTCTTGTTTTTGGCAAGTTACATTGATCTGTTAGACCAAATTCTTATCTATTTTGCTAGGATGTGTTCCAATGCAGGCATTCCTGGTGCTAAACTAACATTTCCACTATTTATTAGTTAAATTTCCAGGCTTTACAAATTAATTTGATTTTGATTTTTTATTCACACACACACACACAAAAAAAATAACTTATGCAATATTGTAATAGCTGTATAAATAATATCAGCGCATTCAGGAATGCACATTCGACCCACCATCTGGCATATATTGGACACGTGATGCGATTTGTTTATCCTCTAAGATTGGCAAAAATAGAATATTTTTGCTACTCTGAACACAATTTCAGGCTATTTTCAGTACTAAAACCTAACAAAATCATTTCTGTAATACATCTTCAATTCTAACAAATAAGACTAAGAAACAGTGAATGCTACCATAAAAACCATATGAAAATACACTGAAAATTTGCTGTTTTAATCCAAAAATAGTCGTTTTTTTCTCATTATGCACTGTGTGCTGCAGGATTTGTTTTATATGGTGCACACTTACCATATTGATGCATTCTCTCATATTTAGGCCCAAATTTACCACTCACAGCTTATCTGAGTAAGCTGAACTCATGATGTAGTACTACAGCTTGGACCCTGGCTTAAAAGTCATAGAACTACAAAATGGACTCTCAAAGAATTAACTGCCATTCATTTTTAGATAGAATTCCCAAAATGAAAAGCAAAATTGTTTAATTAGTAATGCTTAGCTAGTTAAAAATACACAAGAATAACAGATGCTGCCTTTCTTGAAGTACAGAAGATATAGTGTCTGGCAAGACACAACCTGGCAGTCTTCTGCAAAATACTTCTGCAATATCAGTTGTTGTTCAAGACACTTACACTGGTGCTTCTTGAAGTACAGAAGATATAGTGTCTGGCAAGACACAACCTGGTAGTCTTCTACAAAATACTTCTGCAATATAAACATAAGTAAGTACAGTAAAATATTCCACAATTACCAACACAACATACTGAACTAAAATAATTTTTGATCTATTGTCACATGTTTCACTAAATAAAATTGTCCCTTTTAAATGTTTATCTGTAAAGATCTTCAAGATAAATCACAAATTGTGTATGGATAGATCACAGGCATCAGTAGGTGGTGGTGATAGTGGCGGAGGTGGTGCCACGGCCACGCAGTATGATGCAACAGCCCAGGTTGGGACCCACACGGCTGAATCATCAGATCCAGGACAAAGTGGAGCATCATCCACCCCTCACACAACAACCAAAACTACAACCACAACCAGCTTATGGTATGCTGTATCCACCGGCAAACTGCATCTGGGATTGGCAGCACAATCCCAATTTTGCTCCCAATCCCCATCAGTTTGATGACACTTGAAGTGGAATCCTGCCAGTTTGTTCCCTTGGAAACACTGCAAATGAATTAGAATTCTTTGAACTATTATTTGACTAGCCCTTGATGAAAAATATTGTCAGAGAAAGTATTCTGATATTTTGATTACACCATGACAAATAGAAGCACATCACCACAGTCAAGACTACACTGGTGGAAAGAGACAACTGTGGCTGAAATGTATTTTTTTTTTTTTTTTGCAACAATAATACTTATGCCTCATGTCTAAAAGCATAATATAAAAACATACTTGTCCAGAGATCAGCTAATTTCTACCCCAGACTTCAGTGAAATCATCCCAGTGAACAGATTTATCTTACTGTTATGTATGTTGCACTTCTCTGACACAACAAGGCATGACAGAAGTGACAGGGTATACAAGATTAGAAATGTTTTTATGCATCTGAAACAAAACAATTTTTTTTTTTTTAATTCTTCAACACTGAGAGCAAGTTTGTGAGCAGGGGTCCCGACAGTGAAAGGCCTATATCAAACCTGCCACTACTATCTAAAATCTTTGAAAAATTAATTCACAAACTCTGCTCCTCTTGAGTATCCCACAACATACTTTAGCCCTGCCAGTCTGGATTTAGATAAAAAAAAAAAATACTAACGATGCACTTATACACATGCTTGAAATAATATATTCGGTACTCAAAATGAAAATCCCCTGCGACTTTTCATAGACCTACAAAAAGCATTTGACACTGTTGACCATGACTTATTGCACCTAAAGCTTGAACACTACTCTGCTTTTGGGAGATTTTGAAGAGAAGTTGCAGAGGTTGGTGGATGAATTTGGTAGGGTATGTAAAAGAATAAAATAAAAAGTGAATATAGGAAAGAGTAAGGTGATGAGGATAAAAACATTAGGTGATAAAAGACTGGATATCAAATTGGAGGGCGAGAGTATGGAGGAGGTGAATGCATTCAGATATTTAGGAGCAGGTGTGTCGGCAGCTGGGTCTATGAAGGATGAGGTGAATCATAAATTGATGAGGGGGAAAAGGGTGAGTGGTGCAGTTTGTCTGTGAAGACAAAGAACTTTGTCCATGGAAGCAAAGAGGGGAATGTATAAGAGTATAGTTATACAGGTCCGCCATCACAAATCCGGCAATCAGTTATTCGGTTCCTTCAGTTATTCGGCACTAATTTTGGCTAGCATAATTTCAAATTTCCAGGATCGCAACACCAACCTGCTGGTACTGTTTGGTGGCGCTACTTGCTGCATAAGTCATTCCAATTTCTTTTTCTCCATTTATTGCTTTAACCTGCTTACTTTTAGCCCTAGCCATGGTTCCAATGAATAAAAGAAATGCTTCTCATTATGTAAAGCACCTACACAGTACATTATCCATTAAAGATAAGGTGGCTTTGAAGCCACTGTCGGTTGCCATGAGCTAAGTCTCATGAAGCAGGAGAATATGCTTTATTATTATGCTAATATCAACACTACAGCTTATTTGCCTATCACAATTGATCTAATATGACATAAGAAACAATATAAATAACATAAAACATGTTAAATACTCCAGAATGAATAATATTTGGCATAACACCGAGCAGATCGACAGAGTTATGATGAGGATATGGTAAACAAATGCCATTCTCTTACCCTTGTCTTGGTGGCTTTTATTAGAGAAAACGGAGTATAGCACAGGGCTGGTGGCCTGGTGGCTAAAGCTCCCGCTTCACACACGGAAGGCCCGGGTTCGATTCCCGGCAGGTGGAAACATTTCGACACGTTTCCTTACACCTGTTGCCCTGTTCACCTAGCAGCAAATAGGTACCTGGGTGTTAGTCGACTGGTGTGGGTCGCATCCTGGGGGACAAGATTAACCCTTTGACTGTCGCAGTCGTATATGTACGTCATGGGAGATACCGTGTTTGACGTATCTATACGCATAAATTCTAGCGGCTTCAAATCGAGCGGGAGAGGGCTGGTAGGCCTACACGAGAGAGAATGGGTCTCAGTGGTCGGTGTGCACCCTGTGAAAAAAATCTGGGACTCAGCGGTGCATTGTGGAACGCCATCTTGGTAGTCCATTTTCACCATGCCTCGCGGTAAGAAGTTCCTCACTCCTCGGGGGATTGGAGGTCTTTTGTTCCCAAGTGATAGCTCAAACAGTGATGATAGTGTCAGTGAAAGTGAATTCCCTGGTTTTGAAGCGGGTGTGACCGAGAAAATTACCCAGGATAACATAATTAGTGATGAAAACCCAGATGACCCACAACCATCCACCTCTGGTGCTAGGCCGGCTCGTTCATATTCACCTGTACCAGGACGAAAGAGGAAACTATTTGCCCGTGTACAAGACTCAGATGTGAGCAGTGCAAGTGATAGTGATAGTGATTTCAAGGTTATTGAAAGCACTTCTAGTTGTGACAGTGAGGGTGAATATTCCCCAGTGAAACGGCAGTATGTACGACGTCACATGCGGTCTGGTAGTGTGCCATATGCTCTTCCAAGAGGAAGGAGTACATCTCGGAGCACATCCCGTGGCCCTACACCACGTCCTGATAGTGAAGATGACGATATGTTACGATGGGTATAAATGATGTGAGTGAGGCAGCAGGCGGTGGTGGTGATAGTGACGGTGCCATGAGTCATGTGACACCAGCAGCGGGCCACGCTAGTGCCCGCGCTGCTGACTCTGCACAACTACAACCTGCTTCGGCCGACCCCACACTCTCACAACCACAACCACAACGACATTACAATATCCAGAACGCACCAGCTGACCGCATCTGGGATTGGCATCAAGATGACGAGTTTGTTCCCAATCCCCATGATTTTGATGGAGGACAAAGTGGAATACGGCCATCATGTACACTTGGGAACAATCCCACTGAACTGGAATGCTTTCAGTTGTTCTTCGATGAACCCCTGATGGACATTATTGTCAGGGAAAGCAATACATACTATGAGTACACCATGGCAAACACGCAAGTTATACTTTTGTATCAGTCAAATCACATATTACTCGGGTAGATAATTTCCAGTAGATCCTTCATGTGTTAGCTCAAATCACCGACCAGTATGTTTTAAATAAGTGACCCACTGATCAGAGCAGATCGACTGGTCCGGACCCTTGACTGGTCCGAACCCTTGACTGGTCCGAACCCGGGACTGGTTTCAAACAGTTTCGTTGGACAATAAAGCAGACTGTAAACGGATGGGGTTGTAGGCGCCCTTATAAACACAAACATTAAAAATCAGGAACGTGACGGTAAGCTGTGCAATATACAAAAAGAGTTAGAAACAGAAATACAAATAGCTAGAGCTTCATTTAAGGTTATTAATAGAATATTCAAGAGGTTGCTAGTAGAATTGCAGTAAATCAACCATTCAAATCATTATGAAGCTGTGTGTAGTCTGTGGTCAGTCAAACGGGCTTCCACATGGATAAATTGTCATTTTTGTGGAAATTGGTGTCACGCCCCTTGTGCAGATATCCCAGAACTAGCTACAAGCAGTATTAAAACAGAGAGGTGTTTCTGGGTATGCCCAAATGAGGAAAATCTGTGGACTAAAATCACAAGGGTATTAAAAGAGGACAACATCAAAGCTGCTTTCATAGAAAACCTGGAAGCTTTCTACAACAGATGGGAACATAAAAAGTCTGGGCTGAATGGTACTGCCCTTGATACTGGCCATGTAGTCACAAACTGTAAGGCTGGAGATGATGTCCTGGTAGTCAGTAAATGTGGGGCTGATAGTGCTGTCCTGGGAGACAGTAATGGTGAAGCTGGAGGTGCTGTCCTGGGAGACAGAAATGGTGAAGCTGGAGATACTGTCCTGGGAGACAGTAATGGTGAAGCTGGAGACTTTGTCCAGGTAGTCGGAATTATACGCAGGAAGGAATACATATAAATGACCTCATAGGGGACAGGAGCCATAGTAGGGAAACAGTGTAGTCAAAGATAAGATAAACCAACATTGCAAACTAGAAATACCGCAGGAAATAGCAAAACAAGAGGACTCCAATAGCAATAGTGAGGATAAATTACCAAAAACAACTGGTGGGAGCTCCATTGTTGGTGCTAGGGAGGATAGAAGTAAGACAGGGAAACATGCACCAACAGGGAATCAGTCACAGAAACCCAAGGCAAGCGGAAACCAAGCCTGTGCACATACTATGCACTTGGTATCTGCTGGCATGGGAAATCTGGAAAAACAGATGGGACGTGCAAACTATGACCACCCTAGAAAATGCCATGCCCATATGACAACAGGAAAATGCAAACTCCCTTCCTGTAAGCTTTTTCACCCTGAAATGTGTACCTCTTCAGTACAGGAAAGACTGTGCTTATAACTTAAATTGCCAGGATACCATCTAAAGGGACAAAAAGCTACAAAACATCCAGGCCATGGGAAAACCTGGGTAGCCACAGCCACTCAAGAGGGAGAGGTTTTTTAGTGCCAGGAAGGAAAAAAACTGGCAGGAAATGGCAGAAATCGTACCAAATCCAGTCATTCCTGGAGTGGAACCACAGTCGATGGCCTCCACTCCAAACCAACAGATACAGATACTAATGCCGGAAAAAAA